CGCAGCCTCCATGGCCAAGCAGCTCGGCCGGGACCAACAGGGCATCACCCTGCGGGGCAGTGCCGACATCGTCGCCGAGTTTTTCTGTAAGGGGGGCCGCGGGGAGGCCTTGGGGGGGACCGGTGTGGGAGGACGGGAGGGGGCGCGTTTGGTAGGCGGCTGGTAGGCCTCCTGCGGGGTGACATGGCTCCCTCGCGCGCACACGTTCCCCCCTTCCCTTCCGCGTGTTGCAGCCTATGGAATCAACAGCATCCTCTACCAGCGGGGCATCTACCCCCCCGAGACCTTCACCCGCGTCCAGAAGTACGGGCTCACCCTCCTCGTCACCACCGACTCCGAGCTGAAGAACTACCTCAACAACGTGGTGGAGCAGATGAAAGGTGGGGACCTGAGGGGGCTTCCTCAGGCTGCCAAGCTCGTGCCGCTGCGGGAGGCTGCTGTGTCCTCCAGGCTGTGTCGCTGCTGGTGCTTCTTGTCTTTCTCACTCTGCAAGTAACTGCTGTGGCTTCTTTCAGAGTGGATGTACAAGTGCATCGTGCAGCGCCTGGTGGTGGTCATCTCGAGTATCGACGACAATGAGGTCCTGGAGCGGTGGCAGTTTGACATAGAGTGTGATAAAACCGCAAAGGATGAGAGGTGAGTAACGGTGTGCCTCTGCACGTCCTTTTCCCTGCACCTGGTAGCTGCGCAGACCCAAGATAAATGCCATGTGCATCAGCGCTCTTCTGGTTCCTTAGAGCAGCTGAGATAGCCTTTTCTCAGTATCAGCATGGAAGATGTTCCCTCAAACCTTAACAAACCTACAGTCTTTCTTACTGCTATCCCTTCTGTTTGCCTATAAATCATTATATGATTGAAGTATCAATTCTTTCCTTGGAACATTCCTTCCAAGTACTGTGAAACTTCTCAGGGTAAACAACTATCACTTACCTTTTTGAGCCTAGCTAGCTAGGGCTTAAAAGTGTCACTACTATAAAAAATCCTATAGCAAACACCAATAGAGCTTAAGAGAACTGTATTTAAAGAAAACTATCAGTATAGCAGAAGCTTGCTTTCTTAACAGTGGTTTTCTGTTTTTCCAGTGCACCAAGAGAAAAATCTCACAAAGCTATTCAGGATGAAATTCGATCTGTTATCAGACAAATAACTGCCACAGTAACTTTTCTGCCACTGTTAGAAACTGCCTGTGAGTATTCCAAACTTCACTGAAGAAATTACTTTGTTTGGAAAATCTCAACTTTTCCACTTTAGAAAATATTTTCTGATTTTTCCTGAGGCTTTTTAATTATTAAATGTCATACACTATCACATTTGAGAGGATTTTGTTAGACTGAGATAGTACAATTGTGTACAGTATGGAAAACAGTATGTTGGATCAGATAATTTTTAAGAATTATTCTATAGTTTCTTGCCTAACAGCCAGCAAAACTAACTGCAAATGTAAATACTGTGCACCACCTCTCATTAAAGAACTTTGAGCAACTTCACTTAAAGGGGCTGGGGGTACTTTCTCCCAAAAATAATTTAAAGCTTTGTCAAAAGGACAGAACTCAGTGTGGCTTAACTAAACTACTATGTGTGTTCTGAGGAATACAAGTTTCATAAATACAAGTTATTTTGTTACTCTAGCTGTGGACAGGCTTGTATAAATAACCACTGAGTTCATACAAAGTGTTACATAGAGCTCTGCTCCACAGCACTTTTAACATGCTTTAAAAAAATGCACATCATGCTTGAGAACTAAAATGGCTACACAAATATAACTAGGAGTTGTTTTCATGTTTTAACTACTCTTTCTTTTTATATAACTAGTATCAATGTAATTTCTGAGAATCTTGGTACACTTCTAGTTCTAGAAGATGCACTTTAACTTCAAACATGCCACCTTATGCCTGCAGTACTGTTAATTTGTTCCCACTTGCTTACAGGTGCCTTTGACTTGCTGATATACACAGATAAAGACTTGGTAGTGCCAGAGAAGTGGGAAGAGTCGGGACCACAGTTCATAGCCAATTCAGAAGAGGTTCGTCTTCGTTCCTTCACCACTACAATCCACAAAGTGAATAGTATGGTGGCTTACAAAAAGGATTCCTTCCCCTAAAGACATGGAGGGTTTTGTATATACTGTCACCTTGTACAGTTTCTGTTCCTAGTGCAGCTAAGTCATGAACACATTGTTACTGTTGCTCTTGCTCAAGTATGATACAGACAAAAGGTAACACCAGACCAATCTGGCATTGTTTTTAAAAAGGTCTAAATAAGGCATGATAGTTCAACTCTGAGCTAAACTAATGGTGGGTTCAGTTACTGCATTCACTGGAAAAACTGCCTGAACGTAGGATTAATTGATAGAACTGTGTTCAGATACTGCAATTTAGTAGTTTATTATAAACTGCATTCTTTTAGCAGGCTTAAATTCTCTCTGGAACTAAACATGATCTTGATCTTGACATGCCCACTCATGTTAAAAGCCTGGGCTGCTTTATTACCAGAAACAATTCTACAAATGAATCAGTAGAAAAGTTACTTGTACCTCTTTATAATGAAAAGTAGCTTGTTTATCAGGAAAATCTTAAATATATGAAGCCTTGTACAGTAACAACTGCTGGACCCTAGTTCTGGGGGATGATGTTCTAAGTTGGTTTATGTTTCTAGTGTCTGTCAAGTGTTTTCTATGTTTGTATTCTTGTTTTACAGAATAAAGTTTCACGTTGTATAGTGTTCTCTAAATCAGTCTGGAGTAGTTCATATTTTAGGTAGTTTTATGAATGATACATTTTAGTTTACAGCTGTCATAGAACTAATGCCCTAAAGCTATCACTACTTTAACTGTTCCCTCTGCGTTTCAAAACGGGCTGTAGTGAAATGTATTTATGGATTAATAGTTTGCCCCCACTATTACCTTCAGTGAACAGTATGAAGTCAGTGACCTAATGATTAAGCACAGTGCCCTCCATAGTGGATAAATAGCATAGGATTCTATTTCCATTCTTCATGTTTGGTTGTTCTGAAAAAATTAGGGATTTAAAACTAAGCACTAACATAGCTTTCAGGCTCTGCCCCATCTGTTCATTTTCTTCACCAAGTTCACTTCGGCCAGAATAACTTTTCCCGCTCTAGTTCTGGAGTTATAGAAAAGTCTTTCTGTTTTAACAGTATAATTTTAAAAGTTTATTTAAAAACACTGATTACATGTACTCTACCACTGTATTACAGTTTCTGGGCTTTCCTACCAAGGAGTAGTTCTCTTCAGCAGTCCTAACCTAGCAGAATTTGAGAAGGTAGCCTTTTACAAAACAGTAGCACAAAATCATTGTTTTTTAAAATAAATACAATCTAGGTACTTCAAAAAAGAATGTTACATTACTCACTACTAGGGCTTGTATTGCAGTAACAGGATTACTGCGTGTTTTTTTCTGCTTGTTGGCAATAATCTTAAAGCACTACCCCTTTACACCTAGGAGGAGGTGTACTTCAAGCAGTGCACCTTCCAGAACCTCCCCTGGGGAGCACTCACTGCTTTGGTGCAGTCTAAGTCAACTGTAACAAATTTTCATCAGGAACTGATCACCACTGCTTCACAGCAAATATGAGGGCAGGAGATGATAGAGCCAGCAGTAATGAGCATAAAAAGACTTGTTTTACAGAAATAAAGTCAGATTGCTCATGGAAGTTCAAGTCCCTTCTTTCTTGTACCAAATAACATTTATCTTCTCTAAGAAGGACCAGCACAAAGTCCATCACCATCATCTGTATTTTTTCTCTTTTTTCATAGAGGCACCAACAGTCACAAGATATAGTATATCCCGGCATAGAGATAATGTCCATGAAAACTATATGTGACCAGGAACGAGTTATAAGTCCTGAAGTTTTCACAGTGGCCCTGCAAAACAGGAAAGAAAAATAAAAACTGCAGTCACATTAATGCAATCTCCCCAAAGTCAGGCCTTTAGGGAGGTGTCCAAGAGGATCTGTTGATACCTAATGGGACCCACGCTCTCCATTACAGTCTCTTCTGTCTAGAGTGAAGAATCAAGACCAAGGGAGCCCCCCTCCCCTCTGATGGCAGTACAGTTATTCTCACCAGATAAAGGATAAGATTAAGAAGTCCCATAACAGGCATTCCTCACCTGACTAGTTCAGCTGACGTATAAGCTGGTTGATTGCTTCTCCTCTGCAGCCAGGCTTACCCATCTCCTTGAGGAAACCCACTTTGTTACGTGAAGCATGGCGAGCCACAGACAGGTGGAATGGCCACAGAAAGTTTGTAACTCTTCTGAAATACTTCCCAGCCGAGTAAATTTCATGAATAAGGTCTTCTAAGCAAATAATACCACAGTCCCCTACAGGCCAAAAAAAAAAAAAAAAAAAAACCCCAACAACAAAGAGCCCCCCCCAAACAACATATACGTGAGCTGCCCAACTGTATCTTTCCTCACACTACTCCAAAATTGCCAGTCCTCCATACACAAATCTTGCAAGATTTTTCTCCCCTTCACCCCTCTTAGGTCAGATTGCAAACTTGACATCTGGCTCTTTCCTTGATTCAGTTTGATTTCTCATCCTCTTCCTCACCTAAATGTTCCTCTATCAGCATATTGTCTGTCAGAGGCATCCTCTTTCTCTTAATCTTGGCTTGGCCCCGTTTCAGGATGAGCTCTCGTACAGACTTCAGGTTAGGGTGTCTGTGCAAAAACAAAAATCAGATTCTGTAACGGAAAGACACGATACAGCAAAAAGTCCCATCCTACTTCTTTGCATAGAGGTGGGAAAGTAACCAAGTTACAATAACAAGTTTTAAAGTTGACAAAATTTTGACTGTTACTGGAAAAGCCAGCTATGGATTTGTGATACCAAATGGGAAAAATCAAAAAGCTATGATATTTTCATACAAACTACTATCAAGTCACAGGACTGGCACTTACCCCCATGCCACGTAAGGTTCCACAATCCGCAGCATCTTCAGCGATAAAGGAGTCAGTTTAACAAATGTCCCAGTGAAATTTTTTGACAGCCGCAGCAACTGAATCACTCTTTTTACCCTCCTACTCACTCCCTTAATACTGAGTCAGAAAAAAAAATACTATTAGTAATCATGTTTCTCTAACACAGCAACAAAAGGCCTCAGATTGCCTGCAAGGAGACATGCTTGGGTTGATCACCCTTCCTTTGCTTAGAAATTATGACAGCTACAAATGGCAGCAATACTAAAGAGTAAGGAGTATCAGAAGTTTCTTACTCCGCAATCCGCACAACAAAGGCTAGTTTGTGCTCCTGAGGTACAGCTGTCTGTCCAGGTCTCTGCTCCATGCGTCTCAGCCGGGTGTCATCTCGGTGTTTGCGCCATGAATCTTGGACAAAAGCCTCAAGGCGCTTAAACTGGATTTGTTTCCCCTTCTGGTTCTAAAGACAAAAGGATAAGAAATTGTCACCTAAGTGTTACAAGTTTGCGTCTCAAAGGTCAAATGAACCTCAAAACTTGGTGAACTGTGCTCTTTCAGTTTTGGAGGCAGTAAGAAAATAAATTTGATCATTTAGGCCCAAGAAACAAAGAACTGAGGGGCAATATATGAATTTATAAGCAGCTAGCTATAATTCATGAATAGCGAACAAAGAGTTTTTCCCCAGAAAAAAAAAAAAGGAAAAACAGAGCAAGACCCAGGATACTTCTAGGTGTAGGAGAAATCAAATAGAAGCATTTGGAGCCACAGACAGATCTTCACAACTACATACAGAGATCAACCAATCACTGGAAAAGACAGAAAGATACAGATCTGGGTAAAACACATGCTACAGCAATACCCTAGTGTGACTCAACCTTAATATCCAACAGAAAATAACCCGGTTTAAAGCATTGAAATTGGTTAGAATTTTCAAAGCAGGTACATCGAATCAGAGTCTCATCACTAGGGTAATTTTTCTAATGAGAATCTTAGAGGTGGCTATTTAACATTACTGCTTATGTTGTGCTTCCCCCTTGGAAATACAGCAAACCATTTCAAAACATAAACGCAGTATCTAAGAAAAGTGGCAGGAGTTTCACACATAATCCAACTGACTCCACAGAAACAGATTTTCTGGGAAAGCTTTAAGCCACTCCCAAGACAGGTACCTGCTGTTAGCTGAGATACAGCAGAGCAGGCCTCGCATTCTGGAACAGAACGTGCACACAATGTGTCTGCATTAGCAACGTCTACCCCTACACGCAAAAAAAAGGCTTCACAATGACCTGTCTATCCTCTATGAGATTTACCTAGCTAATGATAGCTAGCTAACTCTGAATGCACCCTCTGAAAAGCACACCATCTCCACGAAGGTTTACAACGTAAAGCTGAACTGGTTTACGACAGCGTAATGCCATGATAGCACAAACTACTCAGCAGCATCACATTTTGCCCCGTGCGGCTATACACACAGGCACCCTAGTAATCACTGATCTAAGAGGAACGAACAACTCTGAGTCTTCAACAGATCTGTGTTTCAGTACGACAAGCCAAAAAGTTACGAGGCTCAGAAACACACGGGGAAGATGCTCAACTGAAAGGATGAACTCAAGTTTCCCCTCATATACAGCCCTGCGGGCCACAGCAGTACCCGCACAGATACCAGCAGCTCGCTGCCTCCCTCCTCTTCCCACCGGCACCCTCCTCTGCAAGGAAAGCTGATCACTCGCATCATTTGTACGACTGCACGCACCCACGGTTCCCGCCCCCGAAACACAAGTGCGGGCAGCTCCAACAGCACCGCAGATTCACCCCGAGCTTCACTCCACGACGACCGGGCTCTCACAGACGGCCGCCACCCGCACGCTGCCGGACAAGGCCACCTCCTCCGCCCCGTCAGCACCCCCTGGGCCGGAGGGATCCCCCCGCGGCCAGTCCCTACCTTCCTCTTGTTGAGGAGCGCCTGCTTGGCCTGGGTGGCCTTGATGGCCTGGTAGGCCTTCCTCCTCTTCAGCAAGTTCTCCGGCACCAGCGGGATCCGCCGCCTCGGCCTGCGGGGCAGTGCCGACATCGTCGCCGAGTTTTTCTGTAAGGGGGGCCGCGGGGAGGCCTTGGGGGGGACCGGTGTGGGAGGACGGGAGGGGGCGCGTTTGGTAGGCGGCTGGTAGGCCTCCTGCGGGGTGACATGGCTCCCTCGCGCGCACACGTTCCCCCCTTCCCTTCCGCGTGTTGCAGCCTATGGAATCAACAGCATCCTCTACCAGCGGGGCATCTACCCCCCCGAGACCTTCACCCGCGTCCAGAAGTACGGGCTCACCCTCCTCGTCACCACCGACTCCGAGCTGAAGAACTACCTCAACAACGTGGTGGAGCAGATGAAAGGTGGGGACCTGAGGGGGCTTCCTCAGGCTGCCAAGCTCGTGCCGCTGCGGGAGGCTGCTGTGTCCTCCAGGCTGTGTCGCTGCTGGTGCTTCTTGTCTTTCTCACGCTGCAAGTAACTGCTGTGGCTTCTTTCAGAGTGGATGTACAAGTGCATCGTGCAGCGCCTGGTGGTGGTCATCTCGAGTATCGACGACAATGAGGTCCTGGAGCGGTGGCAGTTTGACATAGAGTGTGATAAAACCGCAAAGGATGAGAGGTGAGTAACGGTGTGCCTCTGCACGTCCTTTTCCCTGCACCTGGTAGCTGCGCAGACCCAAGATAAATGCCATGTGCATCAGCGCTCTTCTGGTTCCTCAGAGCAGCTGAGATAGCCTTTTCTCAGTATCAGCATGGAAGATGTTCCCTCAAACCTTAACAAACCTACAGTCTTTCTTACTGCTATCCCTTCTGTTTGCCTATAAATCATTATATGATTGAAGTATCAATTCTTTCCTTGGAACATTCCTTCCAAGTACTGTGAAACTTCTCAGGGTAAACAACTATCACTTACCTTTTTGAGCCTAGCTAGCTAGGGCTTAAAAGTGTCACTACTATAAAAAATCCTATAGCAAACACCAATAGAGCTTAAGAGAACTGTATTTAAAGAAAACTATCAGTATAGCAGAAGCTTGCTTTCTTAACAGTGGTTTTCTGTTTTTCCAGTGCACCAAGAGAAAAATCTCACAAAGCTATTCAGGATGAAATTCGATCTGTTATCAGACA